AATTGTGATCAAGATCTTTGCTTTTTCATAGGAACTTTGTGTACGTGGGATCAAGCCAGCTTTATCAAACATCCAATTTATGCCGTTTTTATAAATATTTCATACATAAAGTAATCCTCCTACTTTCTAAGTTCCTGACTCTATTTATTTTGAGTTACTACACTGATTTGAGCCAAGATGTATGCTTTTTACTCTACAGAAGATCACAAGAGGGTCCTTAGTCACAAGTGTAGAAAAAAAAACCTTTCAATTGTGATTAAGAGATGCGCTAGGGCGTTTCTCAGCTAATGAGAGTTAAACGAGTGAGGATGCGCCAAATCACTCACTCAAACCTAGACCTACAATTTATATTAGGATCCAAACCACTCCTTTGATGGCATTTCTGCCTGTAGCCCACAAAAGAAGGCTGTGAGCCTCATTTCCAGTACATATGATTCGAAAAAGGACTAGTGAAAAATTTCCCATACCCAGTCTCGAACCCATGATCGCTGTGTCGGTATTGCAATAATTAGGTACCGAAGTACTAAACCATTTCGACACCGAGCCACCTCAGATAACCACAAGTATAGAAGTTTCCCTAAATACCAGCCCAGGTCGTAAAAAATATTTTTTGATTATTAAAACAAATCGATATTAATTCAGTGCTTAAATTTAACTATTGAATTTTTTGGTCACTTAAGGATTGATACCAGTTTAAATCAAGCGATTTTTTTTATAAAAAATTGATCTCAAAAACTGCGTTTAATCTTTCAAAAATCAAATACAGCTTATTTAAAAATGCATCTTAAGCACTTCAATTTCTTTTTATCTTCCGATTTATTGTAAATTCATATGAGCCTTGAGGCTATTAAAAAATGAATTATGTTGAGACATTCTAGTCATTTTTCTTGAAATAAATTTTAAAGTGGTACAAATTAGTCATGATATATTCATTTCTGTAAGGATGTTTCTATTATTTTCTCCTCACTACATTTTTGATATATTGGCTTATTATATTTATTGTGACAATAATAATATTGCTTCCATTTTTTAATGCCAATTATTCTCATTCGAATGAAGGTTTTTGAGACATTTTTCATGTTTATTGTCTTTGAAAATTGTTGACTGAAAATTCAGTGATAAGATCTAGGAACAAATGAGATTATAAATTTTAAACTATTGGATGTTTATGCTCAATTCAATTACTATGAAGAATTCATGCTCAAATCAACTCTTTCGTGAAAAATTAATCTTTTATTTTTTTTGTCCAATTTCATGCATAATCAGCATGTCCCTTTTCAGTTGAAAATTCTTTGTCATTATTCCACAAAATATCACAAAAATAATCGTTACAGAAGGTGTTAAAATCCCCTGCATTTTTGTGTGTGTGGATTTTTCTATTCATCCTCGTGATGCTTTTTTGTTCTATTCACATGTAATAGCATTAGGTATGAAAAGTAGCAAAAAAAATAGGTAGGGGATGAGGGAAAATGTATGAATCACATCAGGTTATAAGTGCACACAAATACGTTCACGAGGATGATGAAAAAAATAATAAATTCATTTAATGATATTCTGTAGTACATTTGTATACATTTATGAATGTATAGATGAATTGTGAGAAATTCAATGAGATTCACCCTCATAAGTTATAAACAGCTCATTCAAGAATGTAAAAATGCAAAGTATAGGAACAAGTAGGTTATCATTGAAAAATCAAAGCGCAGTTTCCTAATCATTTCCTCAACGATTTTAATGCCATTAATTGTTGTTGAGTTTTGATGAGTTCTAGACAAAACACTTATTCAAATCGAGGACCAAAATTTTGATTAGGATCAGAGCCACAAATATCCTTGCTAAGTCCCTAGTAAAATATTAATAGTGTCTAGCATAAGAATTTCGCAAATCCTTGTAAAGATTGGAAAATTTGTTTTTAATGAGAATTGAACTTACTTCCTTGGTCACAAACGTTTTTCTAACCAATTAAATCCAGTCTTCTTTAAGACAAAATTTTGAATTTATTGGACCGAAGTCATTTTTCTACAATTTTCTTGAATTTGAATTCATCCCCCTTGATTCAGCATAAAAGATCTGGAGGTCACAAAAATTAGGGATTATTTTGTTTTTGTCCACCTTTTGGAGTAGCTTTAGACATAATAGTTTAAAAACTTTAATTAAAATTCTGAAGAATTGACCCCTAGTTCCTCTGTGTAAGCGCCTATATGGTAATAAAAAAAAATGTGATCTAATTAGCAAAAGAATTATTATTCATTTTACATCGGCTAGTGATGATAACAAAACGAATAAAATAAAAGAATGAGTAATAAAAAAATGGAAAGAAATATTTACAATTGCTTCGGAATAAAAAGTTATCAGCAACTTCCAACAATCGGTCAAAATGAGTAACAATTGACGATTATTGCTCAGGGGAAAGTCCGCTAAAGAAAAATAATATAAAATAAATTTATTATAAAACTAACATGACTCACCCTCGATAATTTTTATTCTTTCCTTTCTCTCTCTCTCTCGTTGATTTGATTTGATACACACCGTTGATTTTTGCTTCAATACTAATCGCTTACTATGCATAATGCGTTTAGATGTTTCGTGCTATCGTTCCTTCTCTAAAATAGAAACATTTAAAATCAGTTCCTCATATTATTGAGGATGTCACAAAAAGAGATTTTTTTTCTCACAACTTTTATCTCTGTTCATGCTTATGATGAGTGAGTAAAGGAGAGAGAGAAGATCAGCAATTTCTTTCATAAAATTTGACTTCCGTAGCACATTTTCCTGTGTCTCACAGGGAAGTCAGTCAACCGATCTAGTCACGTGTGTAATTGATGACACTCGAAAAAATGGACAGGCTGCAAAAAACTGATTTTTTTCGATACTGCAACGGTTTTTCAGTCTCTGTCTCTCGATTCTTATCATTTTTTTAGAGGAAGGGAAGTGAAATGCACCTCTCAATTGCGATGTGAACTTCCTCATCCCTCATATTTTGTTGTTATTGCTCGATTAATGGCTGAATCTCTGCATTTTTGGAAATGCTTTAGAGTGTGAAAAGGTGCAATAAAAATCATAAAAGTGCTTCTTCCCTCTTTTTTATTGCATGGAAAATTTTTGGCACGTGGCTGAAAAGACAACAAATTCAATTTTTTTTTTGTTGCTATTGCTGCTTCTCTGCAACATTTCTTTCATTTATTTCATTCATTAGATGTTGTGATGATCGGCATAAATAAATAATAAAAATTAATATATTTATGCATTTTGATGTAGTACGCGTGGACGATGGCTTTAAATGAACTGCAAAAAGATATTTTTGAATTATTAAATCATATTTTGATGAAATTTTGCTAGTTCAATTGTTGGATATTAGTCTATCTAGTAATTTATAAACTTAAAGAAACTACGACATACTTTAAGCCTTAGCAAACGACATTCAGGAACAATTTTTCTTTGAGGCTTGTTCCTTATAAACCTTACTCGCATTTTATAACAAATATTAAATGTTGAAAGTTTATTTTGTTTGAATTGTTATAAAATTCCAAAACCTGCAGCTCCTTAAAACCGTAACGTTTAAAGCTGCTCTTTAATTCCAATGTCTCTGGACAAAAACGTTACGCACGATATTTGAATTAGTTCTAAAATAAGAACCATTAGAACTCCTCATTTTAGTACTTGATGTCCGTTAAAATTTTAAGAATAAATTCATGTTTTTTGCACTTTTTACTTACTAAAGTTACTTTAAACTAGTTAATATACAAAGCTTAGGTCAAAAACTATAAGAAGGTTGAAAGTAGAACAAGTAAAACTTAATCAGAAGACTTAATTTTGGGAAAATTTGATTTTCCAAAAGCTTAAATGTTGTAAACAAAGATTTGAAAATTCAAATTTTAAGCTTTTTAAAAAGCTTTTTCAACGGATAAAAGCGCTATTTAGAGGTATTGAGTTTAATTATTTGCTATTTCTTTAAATTCTTTCATTCAAATATTCAGAATGATAATTGCTGTAGAATTAATGATTTTAAGCAATTTTAATATCTCTTTTATGTTTTTCAAATTAAATGAAAAGCAATTTTCTTAATTATGTTCTTTTAAATAACCGTTGAATATACCGTTAATATATATTTCATTTATTTTTATTAACCATCTTCAGAACTTGTTTGTAACAAAGAATACACAAAATCACATTGAAACTAAGAGTGAAAAATAATATGTTATTCACTTATTATGTTCGGGGGGTTGTGAGTTGTAACATATTGTAACAAGGGGGGGGGGGGGGGGGGGGGTAAAAAAGACGTTTTTTGCGTAACGTAATAAGTGAACGACCCCAATCCAAATTTCACTTTTGTGAAGATCGTTCTGAAGATGGCTGATAAAAACAATTGGAATGTTTCATTTAGCAATACATAATTGAGAAAATTGTTTTTGATTTAATTTTATAAAAATTGCGTAGAAAAAAACATATTTGATCCGTAATCCAAAAATAAATATTTTATTGAAATTTCCCACAACGTATTCAATGGTATTTGAATGCATTCATATCATATACACTGAAATATCTTCAATGTGTCTCGGGGATTAAGTGCTTAAAAGCTTGTGGTTTCAAACAATAGATGGTGCAGATGCAATAAAGATGAAAATTTTCTCTTCTGTTTAGGCCTGTTTTTGTGTCTCATCTAAATCCAAGACACAAAGCATAGACACAAATGAGCATGTTGTGTCAAAACTAACGATATATGTCCATAATACAGAAAACATGTATCAGATATCTTAAGTGTCAATACTTAGACACAGACCATGATTTAATGCGCTTATAAATAAAATGATCAGATCAGAGCTGCGAAACAGGCACCTGTGACAGGTGAGAACCCTACAATTCCTTGATAATTTATAAGGTTTTTCTAACAAAACCATACAAATTATCAAGGAATTGAAAGGTTCTCACCTGTCACAGGTGACCTGTTTCGCAACTCTGGATCAGATTTCTTAAATCATATTTCAGTCAAAACAATTTGTTTGGTAATCATTAATAATTACAATTTTTATGATTTTTATTGCATTATTCAAATTTAATTTCATGTTCATTTCCGCGTTGTTATTTGACCTAATTGAGATTTTTATCTTCTATGTACAATAACTATATTTTTAAATAAACGAAAGGAAACAAAGAAAAACTCAATAAGATTGTTCTCTCTATTTTGTGGAACTAAAACATTAAAAATCATTAATGAAAAAAAAAAAAATGCCAAAAAAGTTAAAACTTAGGTATTATGACCGAGTTTAAAGTCTTAAAAGTTATCTTAAAGTTTAAATAAAGAAAAATCATATTTTTGTTTTATTTTTTTTTAAAAAAAAGGCAGTCTAAGCAAATGTTTTTTCAGCTGTCCGTTGCTGGTTGATTCTTGGATCCACTGAAATAGCGATGAAAAAGGTTAAATTTCTTTATCAGTTTTGATTTACAGAGTTTAATGCTTACTTGAATTGTGAGGTTTTTGTGGAACAGAATATCTCTGTTGAGGATAATTTGGCTGGTATTGCGTATTGTTATGATGCTTGTTCTGATAACGATATCGATTATCATTATTATGGTTGTTACCGCGAGGTTGAAGATGAAAGTTGTTTTCGTTTTGAATCATTTGAATCTTATGTAAATGATAATACATTGGATCAACATTGACACCAAATGCAGCAAACATGTCCGGTGTTATATTTTTTAATCTTGGCTGTTTCAAATGAGCAGGTGGCGATCCGAAAGGAGGTGATGGAGGAGGAGCTGTGTCTAATTGATCTTGCTTCTGAACAATAATTTGCATCTCATTTGTTGGTACATTCTTTTTGCGTTCCTTAATCAATTCAGTAAGTCGCTGTTTTCTCAATCGCTTTCGTTTCAGTTTGACTTTCTTTTCGTGGTCATTGTCATGATGCAACTCATTATCGGAACTAGTTTCGCCTGGTAAAATTCCGTCCTTAAAAAGCACCTTTTTGCTGCTTGTTTCTTTCTTTTCCACACTTTGTTTTTCTTTTTCTTGTTCCATTTCTTTAATTTTATCGTTATCGTCCTTTATATCTGATGTTGGAATATCCTCTGGTTTTGGCTTTTTAATGATTCCACGCTCAGCAACAGCATTCATATTAATTGGGCGCAACTTGATTAGCGCTTCATCATCAGAATCTTCAATATTAATGCCTGCATCAAAATATTTTTGTATTTCTTGACGTAACTTTTCTTTTCTCAAATATTTTGCCATTCTCCTTCGTTCACGTTCTGCTTTTCGTCTAATTTTTGCCTGTTCCAACTTCTCAGCCTGCTGTCTGATTTCTTCTGGTGATAATGGCTTTGGAACTGGTGGTTTAACTGGTTGTGGCGATAAAACTTCATTGTTTGGAACTATTTCTAAACAGTTTCCGACTTGGACAGCTATTTGATTGCTTCCTACACGTTGTTTTTCGCGTTTCTGTTGTGTGATCTCAACGAGATTCGAATTATTGACAAAGTTACGTGGAGATGAAAATGTATTGTAGTTATCCTCATAAGATTGTGCATGATTATTCATTAATGGTGTCTGATATCTAGAATCCATATTTGTTGGTGGTGGAATAAATGACTGATTATGAGGATAAATATCGGTATAATAAAATCCTTGATGATTTTGATGACTATGATTTATATGTGGATGTGGATATTGTGGATTGTCATGATGTGAATAATATGAGCTGTCAATTGGATATTGTAATGAGGATGAATTTTGTGTTGGTGAATCTGAGAGCATTCGATTGATTCGATCATCAAGATTTGGTCGACGTGGTGAGTGTGAAGGCATAACTGTTGAATTCCATGAATAAAAATCATTCATTTGTGAAAATTGCTGTTGACGTTCTAATTCCGTGTCGCTTATTGTTGAATCTGGCTTATATCCATTATTTGGTGATTCCATTTTTCTGAACGACGGTGAATAAGAACGTCTATCATAACGATCATATTCAGGCGACCTTGATGGAGTTCTACGCAAATGCGTTTGTTCTAAAGGAACCAAAAAAAAATATTATATAAATATATCACTGTTACTAGTATAATTACCATTGTTTGTCGATGGACTATAGCGATTTCTACGATATACAGGAGATGGTGATCGACCATACGATGGACTAGAGCTGCGACGATATTTTGAAACTGGTGATAACCTTCGAACTTTTGGAGGTGGCGTTCTGCCTCTTGAAGGAGGTGATCTTCTATTTCTTCGCACAGGACTATGTCTAAAACACGACAATTGATTTAATGAATAATTCAGCATTCTTAGAAGCTATTTTACACATAATTGAATTAATTTTTAAATTTTCAAAATATTTGTCAAAAGTTGATTTGTTTTGTTTTGTTTGAAATTTAGAAAACGGTTGAAAATTCAAAATCATAAAAGTCGTTAAATTTACCTTGAATTATGTGACAATCTATGTTTAGGACTGAAATCTCGTCTCTTTGTGTCTCGTTTTTCATCCACATGTTTCCGTCTAGGAGATATACTTCTACGTCTAGGCGATGGAGTCCTTCTTTTGGGTGGTGTTTTTCTTCGCTCGTAATCTCTACGATCTTCTTTTAATTTTTTCCTGTCACGTTCTCTACTATGGGATCTATGCTTTTCACGTTCTCGTTTTTCTGGACGTTTTTCACTTCTATCTCTGTCCTTGTCTTTATCTTTCTCTTTTTCGGATATGACTGGAATTACAGGAGGTTGCATTGACATAGTAGTTTGTGGGAAAATCATTCCATTGTTGCCTGCATCTCTCAGCGAATAGATTTTAAATGGAATGGGAAATTGAGATTGTCCAAATGGTGGTACAATTGGAGATGCTTGGATATTGTTTGGAGTTGAAATGCATGTGGGTGTGTAGAGTGGAGGTTTTGTAAGATTTGTCACTAAAGCTGGTGGTCGTATTATACTTTGATGTGGTTGAAATCTTGTCGTTACATTTTCTGTTGGCGTTGGAGCAGTTTGTGCCGAGCTAATTGGTTTAATTTGTGTCACCATAGGCATAGAGGTTGCATCAAATCGTCCAAAACCACTAAAAATATTGACAATTTTGCTAGTTTCATCATCAGTTGATTCATCTGAAGTTTCTTCTTCACTACTTTCACTACTCGATGACGAGGAACTAGACGAGGAACTAGATTCATCATCGCTATCACTTTCTGAATCACTATCTTTTATTTCCACTAACTTAGTCTCTAATTTATCGACTGTTGTATCAGGTTCTTGATTCAAACTAAACACACTTGTAGCCGATTCCACTTTATTTAAATGAATCAGTGTATTCACATCCTCATTGTCACTGTTGTTATCATAACGTTCACTGTAACTTGATAAGTATCCTTCACTTTCAAGATCTGTCAAAAACGAACAAACATTCTTGACTTGAGGCGTTGATGATTTGCTTAAAGATACAGAAGAAGTGTCAAAAATACTGTCTGATCCTGTAGTTATTGGTGATTTCTCGGGTGAATCAATTACAACAGGAATGTCAATCTTCTTTTCTATATTTTGTTTAGTAGGCACAATTGATGGTCTTATAACTTCTTCAAAATCATCAAATAATTTTGGAGGAGGAACTGGCGATGACCATTTACTCTTTACTTCTAAAGTAATTGAATTTTCAAATTCATCGACCTCATCAGAGTCTTCGAGGAATATATTAACTTTTGGCTTTTCAATTTTCCTAATTTTTTTCCTTTCAATTATGATTGGCTCAAATTTAATCCTTTCCTCAATGACTTGTTCTGGTGGTGTATGCTCTTCTAACTTCCATGATGAATCAATTATATCGTTTTCAGGCGATTTTTCTCTTGTAATCGGTGAATATGATGGACTTTCCATTTTAAATGGAACTATTTTGTCTGTTACTTCTTTCTCTTCGATTTTCATTTCAATTTTAGAAAGCTTTAATTCCTCCTTTTCATCCTCAATCTTAGACTTTGGTGTATGTTTTGGTTTGCTTGTCGATTCCTTTAAATTTTCATGAGAATCTGAACTTCTGTGTTTACTTCTTGACCTTCTCTTTTCCTTTCTCGGTTGATCCTTAGACTTTACATCATGCTTGCTTGTCGATTCTCGTCTGGAGTCATTTGAGCTTTGCTTAACTCTTGGATTTTCAGCAAATGAGATAGATGGTTGGGTTTTTGTATATCTGTAATTATATTATTTTTTTTTCTAAAATTAGATCTATCCAAAACGGACGACTAGCTTAAATATTTACTTTATACAGCTCTTCGGAAAAAATATAGGAAATGATCCTTTTACACTTCGCACTTCCAGCATGTCAGATTTCACTTTCCCACTAAATTAATTGGATATTCTTAAAAAGTTCTTTATTTATGCAATTTGTTTATGTACTCACTTTTCACGGCGATCATTGAAGGAATTTCTGCGAGGGAAATTATGATCATTGTTTCGACGAAAATGAGAAAAGCTCGAATTTGGATTGGGAGGTGGGCGCATTCGATCAAAATTGTTACTGGATCTACGGAACTGCTCATCTCTATGAAAACTTCGTCTATCATTATAATGCTTTTGATTATCGTTTCTCTTCAAATTCTCTCTGTCTTTATCATCCTGCAATTCATTAATGATCTTTTTGCGAACATTTTGAAGATACTTTTCGTCGCCATTCTCAATTCGTGAATTTAATTTTCTCGATTCCTTTGAACTTTTGTCAGCACTCTCTCCTGCAAGAATGTCATAATATACATTAAATCTATATCTATGCACGTGAGTATTTTCAAGGTTCTTTTAATATTACCTGATTTCTTCTCATAAGTCAAACCATCGTCTTCGGATTCATCAGAATTGTCCGAATGACGAGCACGGAAATTCTTCTGGAGTTTTTTCTGTACTGGAACATTAATTATACTATTTTTTATGTCCTCGTCGTCAACAATTTCGCCGTCAGATAGATTTTGACTTTCATTTTCCTCTTTTTTCTTCTCTATTGAGATTAATTCTTCGCTTGATATTTCCATTGATATTTTTTTGATGATGTTACAACTAACTTTTGAGTGAAAAAATCACTGCATTCGATGATTTATTAATTAAAGTATCTGTTTACGGCACCTTTTGGTCATGAAATGAAACAAATGAGGAAAAATCAATTAATTTTAATTTTAATGGACGACATTATTTATGCTCTCGATGAACTTTATATCATATCAATTTACTCGTCACATACTTAGCCATTTAATTAGTTCGTGTTGATAAGTTATTTTCGTCTACAAACTTGATTTTCTCTATATTTTGATTATTATTAAATTTTTAAAGTTTTTTTTTATTTCATTTTCTTGACCAAGTAAAGAATTACTAGTCATTTGACTATTTTGAAAGTGTTTTTTGCGCGAAAATCAAAACTATTTTGTTTATTTTTTATTTCTCTACTTGATCTATTTACTTGTCATACTTTATATAGCTTAAATAACTGCTTCTTTATAGTTTACGAATTTAAATTCTGTGCATTTAATTTCTGTGTTTATTTTGATTTTCAAACAGAACTGAACTGAGCGAACTTCATTTTGGTTCAGTTCGTTCAAGTAAACAAATTTATTATCCAGTCAAAATAAAATCTTGGATGATATTTGCTCCAAAATAATGATAAATAGCAGCATGATCTTTGTTGGCACAATTTTTATCAAAAAAGTATCGAGCATAATATTATAAATTGCTCTATGTTCTGACAAAATTGACCTTCTCTGATAATCAATGCTCACAATGTGCTCACAGCAGCTAATTTAAAATGATTTCCCTGCTCGTCTCGAGTGTCTACTGGATCTTTAATAAAATGAATGAACATGAACAAACCATAACAAGAAGCATAAATTTAATGTTCATCTTGTTGATTTTCTATGCATTTTTGATTTTTGCACGATTAAGAAACCAATAAAACGACTTCTTTACAGACATATGAAATCTGTGGAAATGTATACAACAGTATACTGGACTAAAGAATTACCTTTGTCTAATTCATAATGACTTTAAATAAATCTGCACTCCAAAAGCATTATAGAGGATCCAAGGAAAATGTGCTTTATTAAAAAAGTGTCAATTCGATTTTGAAACATTTGATGCACCTTTATATTTCATCTGAGATTAATTTAAATCAGCTCAAACATGCTTGTTCTAGCATGTTCCTTCGAAGTTGAAACAAATAGAAGTTTAAGAAGAGCAGCAAAAGATTTTTATCGGTAAACCTAAATTTAAATGATTAAGTTTATAAAGATATAAATAAATTGGAGTGCAAAATCTTACCAGTATTACGGTTTAGCATCAATCCCTTAATTTTTGTATGCAGCCAATAATCATTTTGTGTCATCCACATGCGTAGACCTACCAATAATCTCTGCAACGCCGGGCCATAGGATAAAAACATTTTCATTAATTCGACCAAAAATCTTCATAACATAAATGGCTCAATAATTTTCTGCCATTTTTCTCTCGGATGCTTCCGGAATGTATTCTTTTTGTTACATTGCTAGTTTTAAGCCATTCAATTGCTTCATAATAATCCATATCTTAACATGGCGAGATTTTTCTGCACGATAGATATGAACGATTACGTATACATCACCAGACTTGGGATATTGTCTTCCTCGCCAAAATAATCAAATTTAAAGAGTGTAGATCCACCTTCAACTTCTGTATGCACCATTCTCTGTTGAGTAGCTTCCGTATGTCCACGATCACGAAATGCTTGCATAACAACTCTGCATCTTTAAGATTTTGCAAAAGTTTTCACCATAAATCAGACACGCGTTAAACCAAATATTTCTTTTATAATTATTATATCAGCAGCATGCCGAATCAAATTCAGGATTTTCAACACGAAGATCCACATCTCCTGCAAAAGACTACGGAATCGAATTAGTCACAATAGCCACTTCTTGTGTTGTCATATTTTATCTTCACGTTTTTAATATTCCTCTTATTTCTTGTTGCTTTCTTGACTGTTAATGACTCTAATTTCTTCTTCTGTATCTCAATAAACTCTTTCTTTAGAGTTGTTTTTAATTTTTTCATCTTTAATTCCTGCAATTTCTTCTTACCACAACTGTTGAACATACGGCATTTGAAATTCACTCTGAAACAATTGAGTTAATGTCGAACTTCTGTTAAAAAAGCCTTTCAGCTTCATTCAAATGAGCAAAATTCTCCAAACCGAAAATTCATAAAAAATTAAAATATCAGCATCCTATGAAAAAATTTTCTTCATTCTAAAATTTCGTGAAAAAGAACACAGTGACAAAACGAAAATTTTTGCAAATAACCAGAACAGGAACAATCAAAGGATAAAACAGCAACTGAATCAACAAAAGAAACTGTTGTGTCATCAGAAATATCAAAAGGAGTACCAACGGAAACGAAAATTGTAAGATCGAATCAACAATCAACAGAAGAAACAGAAATTTCAATGCAAGGATCGAAACAACAATCAGCAGAAGTAGTGAAATGTCAACGGAAGGATCGAAACAGGAAGGAGCAACAGAAGGAGCACAGGAAGGAGCAGACGTAGTAGCAGAAATAATATTGGCAGCAACAGGAGAAGCACCGAAATCAACTGATCCTACAAGCGATGGAGACAATTAAGAGCCGAAATTTAAAGAAAATCCGCAAGACTACCTCACATCAGAAGCAACAATACCAACCAAGATTGAAGACCTGCCATATGATCCAACTGTTGAGGTAAGTTACTTTCGTCACATAGGAGACCGAATCATCTAGGTTGAGAGTGATTTATTTATGAACAAGAGGTTAAGTAACAGAATAAATCTTTAAATTAATATTCTTTATCTTGTCTTTTTCAGTATAAGAAACAGAAGCTTACGAAGCTGTATCGCGGTTTAATGACCTTATTTGCTGAACGAAATTACAAATTAAAAATGAAATTCGACCATTATTTAAAATTAAGCGACAACAAAAAATTTTGACGACTCATCAAAGACTTCAAGATAAGGAATCCAGTTCTTTGTGAGCGTCTTGAAGAATATTTCATCTGTGAGAAGCTTTGGAAATTAACTGTAAGTCATCACAATTATTTATTTTTTCTGTGATCTTATTGTTGTGAATCTTGTGACATTTTGAACTGTGAAACTGCCACTGAATTGAATTGTGCTCTCCCTTTTCTCTACAATTCTTCTTCGACTGCTTTCAACACAACTTATGATTTTTTGTTTTTGTAGGATTCTGCCTCACCTGATTTAGACTACACTTTCTGGTTCATGCTTCTACATTTTGAAGACAGTTCGCTTCACATCAAAAAAGAACTTTTGGAGTACATAAAGCTGTAGAAAAAATATGATGGCCATCGATGTTTGACTTATAAAATAACAAAGTTCCTTTCAAAAGCCACACATTTGGAACATGAACCAATGGAGTATACAGTAATGGCGAACATTAGCATGAAAAAGGTAAGGACTTTTTTGTTTTATTAACCTAAGCTTCTAGACATTCTTCGCTTCAAAGTTTGAGTTCACAATTTTATTAATCGATCAAATAAAAAATTTTATTTCGTTTATTTAAACTCAAATGAAAGATGTCCAAAACTACCACTTTCAGTTTATGTTCAAGTTTCAAAAGGCAACAGAAAGGAGGGTCTAATTTTGTCTGTGATAAGGTCTGTACAATCTTGGTTTTGTTGTGGTCCTAATGGGTACTAAGAGAGTGCCAAAAGCTGAGGGTGTGAGGGGAAAGGGTTGAAATTGAGGTGTGAGGGGGAAAGAGTTGAAATTGGGGGTGTGAGGGGGTAAGGGTTGGGGTGTTTTAAAAGGTAGGGGTTGGGTAGGCAAGAAGAGCATAAACAAATCTATTTTGGAGTTGCACCCCAATGACGCCAAGGGAAGGGTTTGGGTGAGGGGTGATTGGTAGTTTTGATATAATTTTTATCGAACGAGATTTATTCGCTATAAAAAGGGCTTTGAACTTTTTAGGAATTACAAGAGGTTAGGGGTGGGCTGTCCAAAAAAAACATCACTGTCAATCCGTCCGTCCGTAGTATGCTGTTTATTAATTCATTTCTTATTCAGCTCTTAAAGATCTTTGCCCAATAAATCCTGAACGTGAGCTCTCTATTCATCACTCCAAGCCATGCCTTACGGTGTTACAGCTTATTCTTGTTGGTTTGGAGGGGACGTAGAGGCCAGTGGTACTGAAATTCGTTGACTCTCGGCGGTATTGATCTTTATAGAGGCGCTTCCAGATGGGTCGCACACCCTTAATGATAGATGCATCACGGCATTTAATGTAACCCGGTGATGTGTTTAACTTACAGTTTTTGTCATAGTTGGTAAAACTATGCTATCCTGTAAGTTGCAACTAAGTCGTCTAACGAAAGTTGTTTGATTTAAGAAGGAGCGTATCACTGAGGAATTCGATCAAAAATTGATCATTAACCAGGGACTCGTTCTGTTGACCTTCGCGAGGTGAGTCCTGTGATATTTTCTATTTCGGTAGAAAAGAGGCCGACAATCAAAAGTTGTGATTTGAATTGGATAATTTTGGAGTTTCCGAGTTTCAACTTGTTTAAATCTGAATTTTTCGTGTTTTAATATTTGGAACTCGAAATTTTCGTGTTTCAATTTTTGGAATTCAAATTTTCGTGTTTCAAATTTTGAACTCAAATTTTTCGAGTTTCAATTCTTGGAATCCGAGTTTTTCGTATTTCAAATTTTGAACTCGAAATTTTCTTGTTTCAATTTTTGGAACTCGTGAAATTTGGAGAATTTTGATTTTCTTTCCCACAACTGCACATTCACAAAATTTATAAAAGAAAATTCAAGCGAGTTTCTGTCAACAGAAGAAGCATTCAATTTGCTTTTTTTTAACATGCTGTTTGAATTTTAGAGATACTTTGTTGTGTGAAATTTGATTCTAAGATATTTTCATAAATATCATTTAAATCAAAATCTATTTAACACATTATTGCTTCTGATGGTTTTGGCTTAAAATCATTCATTTTATTAAGAGATCTTAATACATTTCAAGTCATCAGTAGTTACTGGCGTACAATAAAGCACTGAACATTGTTTTGTACTTATTCATTTTTAGCGCATTTTTGAAAACTTGTTTTCGAAAAGGAAGCTGAATAATACACTTTGTTCGTTCGTTCGTTCGTTCGTCTGAAGAAAAACTTTTTAACCAGACATCGTAGAGAGCTCAGGTTTGTTTTATTTGCTCCGTTACTATTGTTTATTGTCCGATCGAACAGTTAAAAGTCTTATAACAGTGTATTTATGCTATAATTAATGAATTTTTGTTTTGTTTTCAGTGTAACCTGTTCAAATTTTATTTTACCTCAATAATTTCAAATTTTTTCTAACCGTTGTAAAATTTGAATTTCAAAAAACGGTTAATAATAAACCCTTGCTGTATGGAAATTCATTGCAACAAATTTTTTAATTATACTATAATTAATGTTTTTACAGTGCAACTTTTAGCGACAAAATTTCAAATCATTTATTGACCGTTAAATAATAAATCCTTTCTATAT